TTTTAAAATCATTTTATTTGGGGCTCGTACAACTCTTATCACAATCCATACAAACATCCATTGTATCAAGCAAATTTGTACATTTGTTGCCATCATCATTCTCAAAACATTTGCCTTCAACTTGAGCTCCCCCCTCCCTCTTGAACCCTTAATAATTCATAAATTATTATTATTTTGTCATATCTTACACTGTCCAATGTCTCCCTTCACCCACTTTTTGTTGTCCATCCCCCAAGGAGGATGTTATATGTAGATCCTTGTAATTGGTTCCCCCCAAAATAAAGTATTTTAAGAAGAAATTCAACTACCTTCTCATCAGTCTTAGTTTAATACAACCTGAAATCCTTAACATATTTTAAAAGATCCTATACCATCTGCCCTGCCCCTCCTCCAATTCTCCAGGCTTTACAAACATTCCTTCCCTGTTTTACTCTATTATTCAGTTTCTCAAAGGCACCAAACTCACCTCAGAAGATCTGCAAGATCATTTCCTCTACTTCTCCTTCAACAAATATTTGTTGTAGTACACTTAACCCAGGCTAACTTCTACTTGTCCTTCATATGGCAACTGGAGTATCACATCCTCCAAGAACCTTCCTTGATCGCTTGAACAAATCAGGCTTCCCAACTATTGTGCTCTGTAATACCCCGTACCGCCCCCATTATACTTTATAGTAAGTACTTTATTAATTGTTTATGTTTCCTATGAAAACCCACTGGATTTGCGAGTGGATCTGATAAACAGTATATATAAAAAATGTGTAGGATTAAAGAATTATAGAGTAGTTGAGATGGAAAGATCATTGTTGCTGGTGTTTAGGTGCTGTAGAGTAGGCTCCAACTCATAGTGACCCTACATACGAGGGGGTACCCCCCGCCAAAATAAGAGACCAGCATTCGGCTATGAAATTTTGTTACTTGCTCGGGGAAAATGCCGCACATGTTGTTATGATGTTGAATAAAGTCTACATGGTTAGAACTATGGGAAAAACTCAAGTGCATGAGTGGTTTTCTCGTTCAAAAAAGGTGAAATGTTGAGTGAAGACAAACCTCCTTCTGGATGTCCGTCAACTTTCTGAATGGACTAAAATGTTGACTCGTGGTGCATTTGGAGTTCGTTTCATTTGCTCAGACTGTTAATCAAGTTTTCTATTTAGAGATTCTGAAAAGATAGCCTAACAATGTGTGACAAAAAAGGCCTGATTTCTTGTAGGCGGCAGACTGGTTTTGCTACCATGACAAGGCACCTGCTCACACAGCCATCTCAGTGTACCAGTTTTTGGCAAAAAACAGCATGCCTCTCTTGCCTCATGCACTTGACCTGCCTGACCTCTCTCTGTGTGAAGCAGGTCATGAAAGGGCAGTGATTTGACAAAAAACAAGCCTTTCAAACACGAGTTTGGAAAAAGTTTCCAAGAATTTAATTGCAGATTTGACAAATGTATTAAGTGTAATGGAGAGTACTTTGAAGGTGAAAAGGTTGTTTTGTAAAAAATAAAATAAAATTTAAATACAGAGCTTTGGGGGGAAAAATTCCCATTTTGGAGGGTACCCCCTTGTACAATAGAATAAACCACCACCCAGTCCTATGCCATCCTCATAATTATTCTTATGTTTGAAGCCCATCGTTGCAACTACGGTGTTAATTCATCTTGTTGAGACTCTTCTTTTTCAATGCTTCTGGGCCAAGCATGATGTCCAGAGACTGGTCTCTCCTTACAACACATCCAAAATATGTGAGACAAAGACTCATCATCCTTGCCTCTAAGAAACATTCTGATTGAACTTCCAAGCTGATTTTTTATTCTTTGCCAGCACCACAACTGAAGCACATAAATGTTTCAGTTTTCCATATTCAATGTCCAACTGTCACATGCCCATGAGGCAACTGAAAATACCATGGCTTTGGTTAAGCACACCTTAGTTCTCAAAGTGACATCCTTGCTTTTCAAGTCTTATGCAACAGATTTACCCAATGCAATGTGTCAATTCATCTCTTGACTACTGCTTCCATGATTGTGGATACAAGCAAGACTAAAGTCCTCACGACCTCAATCCTTTCATCATCTATCATGATGTTGCCTACTGGTCCAGTTGTGAGGATTTGGGTTTTTTGAGTGAGTTGTAATACATACTGAAGGCTGCAATCCTTGATCTTCATCAGCAAATGCTTCAAGTCCCCCTCATTTTCAGCAAGTAAGCCATCTGCAGACAGCCAAATTATTCTTCATGTAATCCAATTTCTCAGATTTGCTCAACATACAGATTGAATAAGTATGGTGAGAGGATAAAATCTTGATGCACACATTTCCTGATTTTGAGCCATGCAGTATTCCCTTTTTCCACTCCCACAACTGCTCCCTGATTCATGTCATGTTCAGAAGGTTCATAATGAAGCGTTCTGGAATTCCCATTCTTCTCAAAGCTAGCCACAGTTTGTTATGATTCACATTGTAGAATGCCCTTGCAGGATGGAATGTTACATACTCATTAGGTATCAAATACTAAGAAAATATACCTGTCAGTTTCAAATTATCCTGAGTTTATAGATAATAAATGGAGTAAGTTCATAAAGATTAGGTAATATCACAAGGACCTAAAGGATCAGGAGAATCAGACTCTTATCTGACTTTAAAGTCCCTGCTCTTCCTACTGAGCCACACTGTTCTAAAAATTATACCAAGTTCTTATGTAAAATTATTGATAAAATCACACCTCTAAATCTGAGATGTTTTTAGAACTGATTTTAACAAAGAGCCTAAAATATGTATGTTTTTTAAATTTACTTAGGTATATCACAAATTTCAGGAACTCCCAAGTTAAATGGTAGGACCATGGAAAATCTAATTTTAAAGGAGTGGGGGTGGGGGCTGCCGCAATTTCCATAGTTTGATAGAGTACTACATCTTAGCAATGCAATATTCCAATGTGAAAAGTGTTGAAAACCTTACTACTTAAATTGAATTACAAACTGGCAGCACAGAACACAATTTAGAAATTACTATCATACACTGTAAAATATAGAATAAGTATGGTAAAACAGGAAGGGTATATATTTTAGGGTCATGTGGATCTAGATTTAACTCCATATTTCATCCTTTTTTTTT